TAACCTCTTTAAAGATCCATAATTTATCTATAATCAGATAAACTTAATTCACACATTTGTTGACAATCTTCTTGTCCTCAGATTTAAAGTCCACAGAGCAGATATATGCCTGAATATACAGTGATTCAGAACTCTGTAAATGTTTGTGGAATAATGTTGATTATTCCTTATACATACAGATCACACAGTAAAGAGAATGTAGATTCACAACTGAATCCTGGCTCTGAATCCTGAATCACTTACTATTTCCATGAACATAAATTCTCCTTGCCATAATATCTGAATCTCTAAAACGAGTGATTGTGATATTTATAAATTCACAGCTATAAATTACATGGAACAATGTCTGGCACATTAAAAAAAAACTCAAAAAAGTTTTGCTACTTGTTAATACATTAACTTGTTCCCCAAATATTCATTGAGTGCTTACCCTAGGCAATGCTTGGTGGGAGATTCTGTCAATCAAAGTCTTTTTGATTGACTTTTCTTAACTTAAAATCAAGTTTTAAAAAATACCAAAACACAAAGAAATGAGTACAAAGAAACATGTTATTATTGTCCCATGAAATAAAAAATCAAAAGACTTGTGTGAGTTACTTGGGCTGCTATAACAGAACGCCACTAATTGAGTGATTTATACCACAAAATTAATTCTAACACAGTTCTGGAAGCTAGATGTCTACTATCAAAGCATTGGTAAGATTGAGTTCTTGAGAGAGGGCTCTCTACTCGATTCTTGCAGTTTTCTGGAAATCTGTGACTTTCCTTGACTTGGAGAAACATCACCATGTCTGCCATATTGCCACATGGCACTCCTCAAGGCATGTATGAGTTCAAATTACCCCCTTATATAAAAAACAAAAGTCACAAGAGAATATGGAACTTCCCTACTCCCATATGACCTCATTCTCAAGTCAGTTGCATCTGTAGTAGTAACCACATCCAGGCACAAGATTTTGTTAAACAACCCTTAGAGTCTGATCTATGTCATACAAGACAATGTCTTCAACTCTATGAACAATCCCTGGCACTCCTGAGTTCATCAATTCACTAAGGGTACTAAGAGAACTCTGAAAAGGTATATGGAGTAAATTTAAGATTTTAAAAATGTGCAATTAAGACACCATTAAATGTGACAACTAAAAACAGCTTAGTAAAAACATGTGCTGTGATGTTTCTTTTGATTTCTAGATTACAAATATCTGATAGTAGAATATACATTATTCCAATTACACATTATTCTAAAACTAACAAAATCAAAAGTATCCATACTTGGATGACCTAAGTTCTTGGATGACCTTACAAATCTGGTACACAGTGATTGATTTTTTTTTTTTTTTTCAAAAAAGTCTTCCTTTCTGCAATATTCTATGGACATGTACTCATGCTTTTCAGTCTCTCTTTGAATTCATCTTAGAGAATTAGGAACTCAAATGTAAAATCAGGGCAAACACAAAGTTCCTTGGGAGGTAGAAGTGTGAAGTAAAGATCATGGAGAAAGATAATCAGTGGAATGAAGCCAAAGGTCATGCAAATACAGTACCCAGAAAAAAATGCTAAGTACTTACTCTCCACTGGTATTTCTCAATCTGATTTCCACTTGGGAGAGTGGTTTGAATAAAACGTGAATTAGATAATAAAAACCTCTTATTTATTTCTTTCACTTTTAGAAGGAACTAATGGGCCATCCTTTCGTGACTGACATAGCCACTCCTAGTCAACATCACTAGATTCTCTTAAGAACTGTATTATGTAAATGCCATTCCCATTTTGATGCCTACACCTGTTTTGGCTTCAGGACCCTCAACTTTCAGCATTTGTTGAGAACAGAAAAACAGCATGAAAGGAGGGAGGAAAAGATAGCTGGTTTGAGTGGGAGAAAGTTTAGATCTGATATCCCTACCCAGTGAGCTGGCATATATAGCAGCTCAGTGACTCAGTTAAATTTTTAGGATTCTGTGAGCCACTTGATAAACCCACCCATTTTAAAGGTTAAGTAAAATAAACTTAAATTTAAGTAAGTCATATAAAGAAATACAAGGTGTTTAAAACATCCCTTACTAATAATTTAAATGATCTACTTTATCTGTGTTACTAAGCTTATTTAGGTCTTTTATCGATATGATGGAAATACAAATTAATAGTGCAATTAAGATGGGTCAAAGTGTGGGTATTTATACCAAATTAGCAAAAACTAAAAATCATACTGTAACACTGTTATTTGTCTTATCTTGAGAGATTTTTTAATTGTATTGTTTTTAATGAGGTAACAATGATTTAAGCCACTATATATGATTTAAGGGCATAGATTCATACCTTTTCAGATGTATATTACCATAGTACACCCACCACTGAGGCATCTGTAATACTCCCACCATAGTCCATGGAAACCCAAGATGGTGTCACTTCTACAGCATAGCATCAATAGTGCACACACACTGAAGAAATAATTTTCCAGTTTTTAAAAACTATTACCCAATTCAGCAAAGAATCTATCCATATCAATAATGGAATGAAGTTGCAATACTATTTTCCTTATTTTGCTTTGCTGTCGTCCTCAAAGTGAAAAGAAATATTAGTCAGCATTCACGTCAGAAGTACAGAGCCAAGAATTTATCAAATTCAACAAAAGGATTCTGCCAGAATTAATTGGCCATATAGAATTCACAATAAAGAGCACTACATATTTCATTATTAGTCAAATAAGTGCTACATCCCATTTGTGCATAATATTCATAATGTATCACATAATAGTGTAACATAAGATTCACATACACATCCTGCTTGAAATGCACTTATTAGTCATTCACTCACCCCATTGCCTTCACCATTCTAAAACTATTGATTTGGAAAAGTTGTTGAACACTATATGTTTCACCTTCCTCATCTGCAAACTAGTGAAATGGATGACTTCTTTCTCAGAGGGTAGTTTTAGGAGTAAAATAAAATAAAATGTATGTAAGAACCCTGTATGGAATGAATTTACTATCACAAATTTGGTAAATATGATTTAGTTCCTAATGTGTGCTCCCCTAAAGATTTTCAAGCACATAAATAGTATTTGATCCTTACCCTCAGGTTGTTTACAATCTAGTGATGAGAGACATGTGTAGATACTGTAAAACAATTTAAAAGAATTAATGGCACTCTCACAGAGAAAAAAGCAGATTGCTATGAGATTAGAAGAAAATAAGGCATATTTTACCTGGAGAACCAGGGAAAAATTTCATTGGAAAGGTTGAATTTTGAGAAAAGCTTTAAAAAATAAGTTGCATTTGTATCAACTGAAAAAGTGTATGGGGAAAACAGAAGCATTCAAAGGCCGAGCGATGAAATACCAAAAACATTAAAATCACAAATATCACCTTATCAACTAGGAAATCATACTCATTTTGATAAATCTCCTGTACCAAAAACCCTTTCTTGACATTTCCATGTAAAACAGAGAAAAATATTCTACTAAAGATTACACAATCCTGTGTGCCTATCTCCAATCTTTCATATTCAAGGGGCTTTAAAAAGAGTGTTCAGGTTTTTTTCAACTTACAAGTCAAGTCCATTTCTAAAAACCAAAGTGTGAATTATCTTTTGGCCTCATTTCTATGGTCATAAGTGAAAGAAAACATTCATGCTCAAGTAATTTTTTTATAAATATTTTACAAAAAATTACTATAAAATATGTCCTGTTTAACAGGACTCAAGGGCTGTCCCATAGATTCAAACAAAGTAGCCAGTGCTTTCCAATCAATAAATGTATAAATTATGCACACCTTATGTAAACAATGAACAGCACATCTAAAGGGAGAGCTTTATGGGCGAATGGAACACTGAGGCCAGAGAAAAGTGAAGCCCTTTAAAACATTCAAGGGGACAAAGACTAAGTGTTAAAGAAAAAAGCATTATTTTATTTATCGGTTAATGATGGCAAGAGTCCACATTACTCAGTATAAAGTTCACTGCAAAGCTTTTTTTCCCTCTGCATATCAAAATATGCTAGTTAATGTTTGTGACTTCAGAAAACAAGCACTATTTCCAAGAAAGCCTGGCACTGCTTCTGCTAAGTGTATGCTAAGTGAATGTGGCTAAGTGTAATGAAAGGAAGATGTCTATTAATCTTTCACCCACAAAAGTCTGACACAAAGGGTCTGCGGCCTTGACCTCAAGCGACTACAGAATAGACCGCAGGGCCAGATTGGGTCCCCATAGGACATATGTCAAGAAGAGCCTTCGTTTCCCTCTGAAAGGTCTTTTAGCTGCCACACTCCACTCGTCTCCAACGTCCCATTACCTGCACTCCCAGGATAAGGCACCTTGCCCGGAGCCTTCACTCCACTCAGCCTGACGACAGCTGTCAGTCTGCCGCTGTCTCGACGAGCAACGCAGACAGAATCTAAAGCTGCACTGGAAGGGTTAGGGCTAAAATACTCTTTCAAAGCGCCCTCAGCCCTCCTTCCTGGAGATGCCTGACTCCTCAACCTCCACTTTAAACCTGCTGAAGGTAAGAGCCACCTCACTCGCAAAGAAGAGTACACGCTTCCCCGTCTCTTCAAAACGCCGGCATTCCCACTTCCCTTCTAATTACACGTTACTCGAAATCATCCCAAGAAGAAAGAGCCCAAAGTCGCAGTAAAACTTCAGCGGAAATGCAGAAGGTGCTAAAGCCAGCAGCAGTCCGACCAGGGGCGGGGAAAGCGCTCACACGCCAGGCGCAGGGGCGTCAGACCCTGACCCCAGGGTTTCTCCCCGCGGGGGCGCGGCGAACCCCAGCGTGCAGGGCCGAGAGGGCGACCGCACCCTCCCGCAGCGCAGGGGTGCGGGGCTGAGCGCCGGCGTGGCAACGGCGGTGAGAGCAGGGGCAGCGGGGAACCTAGGGGGCCGGCGGGAGCGCCGGGTTCGCCCGCCCACTCCGCGGCCAGAGCTGCGGTCCCCGGAGCGAGCCCGGGAGGCCGGTCCCAGGGCATGGGAGCCGGTCCCGGGACTGGGGCGCGCGGGGCACTCACCAGCTGCAGCGCGCAGAGGCAGATGAGCGAGCAGCGCCCGGTGCAGCAGCCCATGATGCCGGCAGCGTCCGAGCCGTGCTCGCCGGGAGAGATCTGTGTCCGCCCGCACAGCTGCCTCCGACTCCCCAGCAGTCCCCGCTCCGCGCTCGCCCAGCGCGGCGCAGGCTCGTCCGCCCTGCGGCCGCCGCCTGCAGTTCTCGGGATCTGGGCTGGAGCGCAGCCTTTGTTAGTTTCCCGGGCGGGCCGAGGTCAGTACCGCGAGCACGACCCGAGCGTCTGGCGGGGGTCCCTGCCTCCCACTGTGCGGGTCTGCTTCTTGGGGAGGGGGAGCAAGGCAGGAGGGGCGGGGGGCGGAAGGGAGGCTACAGATGGTGAGTGGGTGGAAGTCTGTTTAGGGGAGGGGAGTATGTAGGAGGTGGGCGTCTGAAAAGTGGAGTGGGGGTGTGTGTGAGAGTGTGTGTGTGTGTGTGTGTGTGTGTGTGTGTGTGTGTTTTGAGAGGGAGGAGATGAATGAAAGGGAGTGCCACTAAGGAGGATCAGCCTGTCTCGTTAAGAGTCTTTGGAGAGAGGAAGAGGGAGAGAGCGAATGAGAATGAATATGAATGAGCGTGAATTAGGACGACTGGTGTGATGGAGACCCTTGGCGGTGGCCGTTTTAACTGGGGACAGCCCGGCTGGGATTTCTCTCGGGGGAGGGGGGGTGTTGTGTTGGAGGGTAGGGGAGTGAGGGTGGGCGGAGCGGGGTGCAAAGGAGGGGACCCAGCTTTGCTGAACTGCCCCGGAGGTGGAAAGGGTGGGGGTTGAGACGGCTTGGTGTCCGGAAAGATGCGCCGGGAGACAAGAAGCTCCGGGCGGGCGGGGCGCCAAGCAGAGCTCCGAGAACCACCGGGCTGCAAGCGGACGGAGAGGGGGGTTGGCAAGCCAGCTTCGCCCGGCGCTGGGCACTCAGCTCTGGGGTTTCGGGACTAGGGATGGTCCTGCCTGCCGCAGCCGGATGCCCGGAGGGCGCCCCTGCTGGAGTCTGGGTGGGAAAGTTAGACTGACTGAGTTGGTTTGGCAAGAGGAGATGCAGCTGAGATGAGCCTGCCGGGAGCGGCGAAATAAGCCGGGCTGTGGCACAGAGACCTGGTGTAAAATTCACAGCTAAAAGTCTTCTTGAAATTGTCGCCAGGCCTGAGAGGAGAGAAGGCGAGTAAGAAGACGATGCATAGCTTTATTCCCCCTAGGAATGGAGAATGAAGATAGATGTAATTTCCTCCCAAAGAGAATAAAATTGTTTGAGAAAGGTTTGAAGACAAGACCTGGTCCAGGGTAGTTAAGATAGTTAAGTTAGTCACGGACGCACTCGCCGGGAATCCCAAAGAGACCCCCCCATTGCTCTTTCGCAGCTAATAGACTAGCGCGCAGCAGTACTGCAGAGGATTAAATTTCATCAGGGCTCAATGTCAAATTTCATTGGCATAGTAGGTGAACCTGCCAGAAATATGCAAGTAGCCCAAGAGCTCGCTAGAAAAGCACTGACAACCTGGTCAGTTATATCGAGGAGACGCTCCAGAACATGGCATAGACACTCATTTCTTTCTACCCACTACTGTCCTCCTGGGTTCTTAGTGGTAGGTTAGTAAAAAAA